AACTTATTTTGGACTGATGCATGCAACACCTGCTGAGTGGCATTAAACAGCTTGAAAGATCAAAGACAATTTTTTATATAACTCAGACTGGATTCGTCTGAAAGAAGAAAGTCATATACACCTAGGATGACTTGAGGGTGAGTAATTTATGGGCTAATTTTCAATTTTGGTTGAACTAACCCTTTAAGGAGAAAGATTTTAAGGGTTTTTTTTTTTTTTTACAGCTATGCTGGTTCATTAATTCAAACAGCACCTTTTCATCATGGTTATAACAGAGAACAAAAACAGTGCCATTATATGAAACATCTTTATTAAATGCAATTAGATGAACTTTAGAGTGCTTTTTTAGGACTTAAGTACACCTTTAATGTGATTTCATAATTACTTCTATTGTCTTTGAAATATGGTTAAAACATGTATTGCCAAATGTACTGACAAGCTTATACTTATCATTTACTTATAGCATATACAATATCAGTTCTATTGAAACCTGAATGTCATTGTATTTAATATATTCGTAATTACACATCTGTAATGATTAAGATGCAAATTAGTACATTTAAAATATAGCAACTTTAAATGTAATATCGAATAACAAATATTAACTACAGATTGACATTAATTTTGTATCATCAAGGCATGACAAAATATTACTAAATGCTCTTTAAAGTAAAACTTTTTTAAATATACCTTTAAGATTTGAAGTACACTGCAAGTGCACATTCAATTAAGTGCACTTGTTTTTCACAAGGGCTGTCAGGCAAGATTTTCCACACACAAAACCATTTTATGGCTTCAGACAGCTCTGAATATAGTGCACATATTGTATGGACTACTATTATGATTCTTTATGGTGGTCCTTGTGTGTGTGTGTGTGTGTGTTGTATGGAAGAAAGTCATTCATATGGGTTTCGATTGACATTCGGTTAAATAAATAATGATTAAACATTCATGATTTTAGGAGAACTCTCCTTTTAATGCCTTTCGGGTGACCCTGTTTGCTTCGAATTAAACTGGAACCGGCTGTGGAAAATAGTATGTGCAGCAAAATAGAGGGTGATCACGACTATTAAAACTAACTCGACCTTAGAAGTGTTTTTTTTTTTTTTTGAGCGAGACTCCTGGTATTGTGTCAGTTTGATCGTCTCACTGAGCACTGCATGTTCTCGTCTCTTTCCTTCTGTGTCTTGCCAACCATTCCATGTGTCTGTATCTAATAAACCCCCGACCTCCTTTATCTTTCCCTCTTTCCCTCCCTCTCTCTGGCTCTCTTTCTGAATCACTTACTCACCCACTCTGCCCTTACAAGGAAAGGCAGGCAGGGTTGATGTCATAGAATGAAGAATGTTTAAAGAATCCAAAGGGGGCGAGACTGTGGGAGAGCGAGAGAGGTGTTTGGTTTGTAATACGCATGACCTGTGCCAAAGACAAACGAGAGAGAACTTGTTTAGACGGAGGGATGGTGTCATTCCTTTAGGAGGCATGTAGGGGGAGGGTCCAACAGCTGTGCATCTGAAAGAAACAGGAGTCGAGACTGCAGAAAAAAGTTATAATCGAAAACTCAGTTTTTCAGGCCTACAGAGAGAGATAGACGAATAGAAGGAGAAGGAGACAGGCAAACAGGTAAGTCCAAGCTGTTTTCAGTACAAGACTGCTGTAGCCTGTTTGACCTTTTTATTTAATCATTGTCCAATGGCTTTTACGCCTAACAGGTGAGGTAACCAATGAACTGAATAAAAAAATGAATGAATAAAAAAGCAAATTATATATTCAATTAAACTTAAGGGGGTTTAATCAAGATAAGATAAGTAATTTAGAGAAGTTAAGGCATTTATGTATTTATTTCAGATGCTTTAAGGATTTAATCTAATTTTCAAATCATTTTAAATGCCACAAAACCTGTACTTACTTGTGCAAATAAAACTTTATTTTTTTATGTTATATAATATAATATAATATAATATATTATATGTAACCAATGAACCACATATATTACTTGCAAGTTCCAAGTCTGACAACCAGAAAGTGTCCATATACTGTATGTTTTGCAAATACATTAAAAAAAATCATTTAGAATTTAAAATATTTTAAGATTAAAAATACGTTTTTATTTTAGTTTTAAATAAAGTATGTCTGTTTATGCATTTATTTAAAAACAAAGCTTTTTTCTGAAATACTTTTCCTGTAAAATGTGCTTTTGCTATTTTTTTTATTTATTTTATTTTTTTGCTATTAGGTATGCTATTTTATGACCCCATTATAACTGAGAAGATACAGTACATCGTGTACTGTACATGTAATATATAGGCAAAAATTCGTTTGTCACATTTGACCATTTAGCGTTATTTATTATAAACTGTGTATTAAAGAATGCACAAAAAAGTTATTAAAAAAACTTTAAACGCTTTAAGGCTGAAGAAAAAACTTACTGTGCAGATCTCTTAACAGCAGTTTAGTCATCATTGGCCGCAGATTTTGTCCCACCTCCTGCGGTCAGGAAAATGCGGAAGCGTGAACCGGAAGTGTGTCAAGACTCGGTACATTAGGAAAAAGTTAATGTGGGCAGATCAGATTCTCTGATGATCATCCCACGAGAGCTTCTTAGAATTACCAGAATAATGCCTAACGCCAACACCGCGCTATAAAGCGATAAAATTAAGAAAAGATACGCATAAAGGGGGGATATTTATCCATAAAACTAAAGGTATCGAAATTAGACGCGGTGTCTGCATTAGAAAACCTGTAACGTTACTGTTTTTGGCATAACTGCACCTTTCGAGAAAAAACGAACAGTAAGTGCCTTTATTTAATCTTTTCTATAATGTTTAGCCAAACGTATAATATAATACAGCGGTTTGTCACAGATGACTGCAATCTGTATTCACATCAAAACCACAAACCTTGTATGCATTCACAGTGGGTTGTAGTAATTTGTAAGGGAAATATGATTGTACTGTATGACATGGTACGTGTTGTTTGTATGGCTTTTGATTCGAAACGTATTTTAACTCTGAAAATGTTTCATAGTCGCTTTGTAAACTATTCTGTCATCAGTGAAGAATGTTTTGTATGATATAACCATGGATGTAGTGAGGGGTGGGGCGCGTGTATAATGTTAACTAAATGTAGTTAATCTTATTCATAAATGCATCCACCTAAAGTGTCGTGGCTGGAGTTGTGGGACTGTCTCTGTAATTTGTGTTTTATTCAGGGGGAGCTTTATTATCTTTCTTGTTCCTGGGTTTCCAGTCAAGATATCCTTATAAGGTGAAAGCAACTTGTTTTAGCTCGTACTGCTGCGTCTGATAAGTGACCGTCAGGAACAGCCACACAAAGTTTCCCGCGTCTGAAGAACGAGGCTGCAATTACATGTTATGATAATTCAGTATTTAAGGCGAGAATGGTGTAATAAATGAACGCAGGATTTCTCTGCGTGGAGCCCCTAAAGTTGATTTACGGGCCTTTGGGCGACGCTAGTGTGGTTTAGGATTTCTCAGTTCAATATGTGCTGAATGCGGCCGTCGGAATGGCATGAGAGATATAATCATAAAAACATGGTGCCTCCAAAAATGTTACTGATCATGTTGTTGAAAATATTTTTGCTCTCATTTAGTTTTTAATTAAATCTCAATATTCAGTGCAACAGTTTGTTTGTAATAATGAGGATTGCAGCCAGTGTTGCCAAACCCCTCCTTCAGAAAATCTCTAGAACCACCCTCAAGTCTCCATTTTTCACAAAAAGTCGCCAAATATGAAAACAAAGTAAATACAGGTAAATTTGGTAAAGGTAAAGTAAATATATATATA